AGACACCCTGCTTTGGATACCTAACAGTAAGATTGCACACCTTACTTAAGGTTCAAGACCAAAAACCAACACCCTTTTGAGCCACTAAAAAGGTGCCGCTCCCTAGAAGATAAAAGGGTTGTGTTTACATGGAGCAAGTGATGAAAAGAATGTGTAAATTAAGAACTTTGCTACTAGACAGGAAAAGATGTTGAATGATATTATTGTCAAACCTCGAGAACCATGTCCAACAATGACCAATCACCTTTGGAAAGGCATTCTCTATTCCTGTTCCAACATTTAATATGTGAGTTATGTTATTTTGTTGAAGTTCCTCCAAGTTTCTGGCTCCATCTTGTGAGCTTATAAATAAGTTGTCCAGTACTTTGTAAAGCTTGTCATCTGGTGAGAGGTCCTCACAAAATCCTAAGCTGTGTTCTCCAGTATCTACAGTGACGATACCTCCATCTCCACTCTTGAGCTCTAGAAACTTAAAATGAGGTACTGGTTAAGTTACAGCCCAGTGATTATATCTAGGAATAAAATAATTCAGATCACTTTGAAGCTTCAATATCCCATTCCCAAACCCCCCCTCCATGGCAACCCACAAGCATTTGTCACAAATGGCTGTGGGGAATTTAAAGCTTGCCTGGGTGGGGTAGGGGACTTTGAAACAGAAATATTAAGTCTTTCCAGTGGAATACACATGTTGCAACTTTTTAATATGGCGGGGTTTAAAGATAAAGAGTCCCCTTTCAATTGGCTCAGAAAGATTTTTGAATTTCACCTTCCTTCCCTCTGCTGTAGTGACTGTTGTATTTACCGATTTTAGCTTTTCTGCTTTAAAGCTCTCCACCTCACGAAGAAAACTCATTCCAAGTTTCTTCACTTTAGAGAGGGAGATCTGGGAACGACTTCAATTAGCCGCCTCGCTTGCATAACACTGATGGAACGCCTGTGCGAATTTGTTCTTCATCAGGCTAAGCTTTTTCCGGAAAAGTCTTTGGGTAAGATTTGTGCATTTAACTCCTCGGCTTCTCCTGTATGCACAGCATTATGATTTCAAGTTCTTCTCTACGTCTTGTCCTGGCAAACTGTCGGGGAATTTCAAAGCGCCAAGTAGCCCTTGTTTCGTTCATGCGTAACGTTGTCATAACTGGTGTTCCATCTGCTCGAAGTGATCATTCATTATTGTTACGTTTCGGGAGACCATTACATACATCTACCTTCAGAGTAGCAGATAAACCTGCAGCAGGCAATACTGCGAAAACAGAAGAAGGTGGAAAGAATTTGGCGCTAAGGGACAGACTAAAGTCCGTCGTCGCAGAATATGGATCAACAGCTATAGTGTTTCATGTGACTATTTCTCTGACTTCCCTGGGGTTGTGTTATACCGCAGTGAAAAGGTCAGTCATCACGAAGGAAAAAAAAAGAAATATTAACTTTTAGCTAACCGAGCGTAAGGGCCGTGGTGGGGAATGTTGGTTCGAGGTCGTGGCAGTGCGGACCGAGCGCAGCGTTATTATCATATGACCACTAGATGTTTGTTTCAACTTATTTAGTATGCGATAGAGGACGGGCGCTCACGGGAACCACGAAATACATTCTTCAGTGAAACCTTTTCCTTCGTCTTTTCGAGTCAGAACAAAAAATTCACAATTCATTGAAAAACGCAACTATATTTAACTCTCTTCGTTTTTCCTTTAAGTTTTTGCAACAAAGCGGTGTGAATGCAAGGCCAGCCGGCTTTTTCCGTACTGGCTCATGACAACCTGTCCGGCTCTACACACATCAGCTGTCACTATAAATGGTCTTTTATAATATTGCACGCACAGGGTTGTATTGGTTTTATGATAATAAATTTTAATGAACATTTGTGCTAAGCTGATGTTAAGCAGCAAGAGAAAAAACTAGTAGATTCCACACAGTACATTGATTTTTACATTATTTAATCTAAGGTAACTAAAGTAACAGCTTCATCATGTTTCTGACCTTGGATAAGGCATTCTTTTTTCAGGGGAGGGCAAGAGTGTAGCTGCAAAAGGTTTGGAAATGGGAAAGATGAGGGAAAAAAGGGTTGCTTGATCCAGTCGCTGCATGAATTGTCACCATTCCTTGTTTCCTTGTGTTTTAACCACACTAACATCAATAAAATTATATTCTTATTTTAGTGGAATTGATGTCCAAGCTGCTCTCCAGAAAATTGGTGTTAGCCCAACAGTGTCAGATTCCAGTGTTGCAACAGAGGCAAGCACTTTTGTGGTGGCATATGCTTGTCATAAAGTTTTTGCTCCATTGAGAATGCTCATGACCATAAGCTGCACTCCACTCATTGTCAGGAAGCTCCGCAAAATGGGTATTCTCAAGGAACCTTTGAGGCAGTAATGATTTACAGTGCATAGTCTTCTCAGCATTATTTAATAAGCTGAATGGTACATGCATTTTGAATGTGTCTTCTTTGTGATTTATTAGAGGACAGATACATATATTTACCACCATAAACATTTTTATATTTATTATGTAAAACAAGTAGATTCTATGTTGCTGTGGGTGTATACCATAACAGTTCAGCCTTGTGTGCCACTTTTTTTTGTTTTTACCACAATTTGACATCATCTGTGATCTATTACTTAACAGACACATGGCAACATGGAATCTACTTGTTAATTCCTTGCATAGAAGGTGTTTTGTGATTGATAATTAAAAATGCTAATTAAAAGCAAAGGTTATGATTTCACTAATTAGGGGTAAATTTCTTCGCACCACTTTTTGTAATGAAAGATTACACAAGAATATTCTTCTATGTAACTGTAAATATATTTGTCAGAGGACAATAAAGGAAATGTTCAGCATGTGTATAAGTGGTGAACTCACATCTCTGATTTTGTCCAATACTTTGAGTTCAATCAAATTTTTAACCACATGAAAACATATGATGGGTAGGCTCACACCCTTTATAGGTCATTTTTTTTGCAAGGGAGGGTAGTTCTGAAAATGGTTGTAGCTCAAGGTAACTTCAATTTATACTTGGCTAAATTTTTTAGATTTTTTAACCCAAGAAGCTGAATATGTGCAAGGAAAGAAAAATTTCAGCAATGATTTATAAACTCACTTTGAAAACAAATGGGGCAACATTTAAGATAATTTGAAGAACTGTTGAACATGTTTTTTAATATTAAAGGTGTTGTTAAAATTTTCTTACTAACCCTAACCCTAAGCAATTTACTGGTTTGTTACATATCTGCTTCTATCCAGACCTAATGGATATTTTACACAAGCCCAAATAAGAATTAACACTTAATTCACTTTCCAAGTGTTTTGAGGAATTTAGAATTACTGCATATATTTAATATTTCTTAACCTGATTTTTTCATTTCCTTTGAGACCATCACATTCCAGAAATATATCTGGTGTTCATTGTTTTCTTAGTTAGTTGTGTTAATGAAAATTTCATGCTAAATGTTTTTGTTCTGGCCAAAACCCACATGGTAACATGGTTCTAACAGGCACAAATTTTTTAAATGAGGCCATCATTCCTTACAACACTGTTGACTTAAAGGTGTTAATGGGAATACACATTACAACCCCACAACTTGAAAAGTGAAGGAACAATATGTCTTGGCAGATGGAAACATTTTAATACATCAAATAGTCACTGCATTATTACAAATGTACTGGTTTGCAACAAATCCAAACAAGATTTATTAATATTGGTCAAAGAATGGAAAAAGCCTCATGCACTTTTTTTTTTAGAAAAAATTCCACCTGTGAAGTCAATGATAAACTCTACTTTCAATAGTTTCCCAAAAACTAGGCAAGAAGGTGATAAATGAAATGTAGCCTAGGATCTCTAATAACTACTTTAATTGGTTCATTAAAGAATTTTACCACATAACACAAACACATTATATTTTGTGTTACAGTAATTGCACTGACTAATATCCATTTTAAAGGCTGTAGTGAAGTTGGGGAAAAAGTTTATTTTACAATACAATAATGTCATTGCCTTTAGCCAGTGAGAAATTGAGCACATACTGTAAATGTAATAAAGGTAAACTAACTAATAGAAGCCTTTTTTTGTAAAGATGTTTGTCTTAAAATGACTCTGCAGTGCTGAATTTTTTATCATTGAAGTTAAAGACATACTGCCAGTCTCATTTGTCATTTAGTGGCACATAATTAAACAGCTTCAGCAAAAATAAACTTTCCCGCCTATACAAATTAAGTTTTTTATAGACATACTATGGTATTTACATTAACTATTAATAAATTTGCAGAATGTGTGAAACTAATGCTTTGTTGCTGTATAACTACAAGTAGATTGCATTTCTGGGGCCTGTGCATTGTTTCTTATCCAAGGATGTGCAAGCACACCACCAAGGGGAAGCCGTTTGCTTGGATCATGCACCAGAAGCTGTGGATGAATCAAGATAATGATACTAGTTAACAAATAAATCAATATTCTTGAAAAATTTTTAAGACTGTATGAGAGGAGCCAATTTTTTTGTAAACTTAGTCCAAAAATTAATTTGACCATAAAAGAGTGATTGCACTTTTTTTTTTTAACATCTCAAAATGGCCGTATATTTTCTTTAACAGCACATTAGGCAGCCAATGTTAATTAAGTAATTTATGTACTTTTTTTTTCCCTGTGTTTACATGGTCTTGTTAGCAGGAGAGGTACTATTGCCTAATTTGATTAAATAGTCCCTTATACAAATGCAAATCTTAAATGTCTCAACTGTGCTGACAAGCTGTCATCTAATCACACCTATTGATCCATGAGAACTTAGTCATGTAGTGTCTGCCAGTCATTTTAAAACACTTAATTGACATGTGACTTTATGCTTACCTTAGAAATTAGGTCTCGTGCCCCTTCAGATACATAACTTGGAAACTTGAGGTCAACCTGTGTAGACATAATGATTCAGCTGAATAAAATTCTTGATAATGATGAAAGCTGTTAACTTGACAGAGGCTTCTATAAAAACTTTACTTTCTTACCCTTGAAATTCTGCGATAGGTTTCATGGTGACCATCAGCTTCAAAGGGAGGCTTTCCAACAAGAAATTCATAACACAGCACTCCAAGGCTCCAAAGGTCAACCTGTAACACATTAGCCATTCTCAGTAAACCACTGCAGTACATATCTTGAAGCAGAAGGCCACACTTTATTTGTTTACTGGAGTGATCCCCCTAATGCTGAGTCAGCATGATGGCTGTAATTTATTTCCGAGCACAGCCTTTTTCCTCAACCAGGAAACTTAGTCCCGCAAGCCCCCTGACTTGTGAACTTGAAAATTCCAAAAGTTCTACATTTTAGATGTAACATACTAATAGCTGGTCTTAGAATCATAGTAATCTACAAATGATTTACCAAAATTTCTGTCACAAAGATTTGATTTTATCTTAGGCAATTTATTTCAAAATTGTTTCCAAAGAACTACCTTCTCATCATGTGCTTTTCCTTCAATCATCTCAGGTGGGAGATAATCCAGTGTTCCACATAGTGTTGTTCGCCTGAAATTATTTATGATTATTACAGTAGTTATAAGATGATAGTAAAATTCAGTGATTATAATAATAATGATGAGGATGTGCCACATGTTACTTAACAACAAGATGTTGGTATTTGATAATGTTGCATTATTTAGTACATTTAGCTTGCAAATATTTACTCACTGACTTATCCTCTAAGGCCTAAAGTACACCTGAGGTCATTAAAGGATAACACAACATGTATATATTAAGTCAATAGTTATTTTCTTTTTTGCTTTTACCTTGATGAAGGAGCATGAACTGACCAACCAAAATCAGCAATTTTCAAATCTCCCTGTAATTAAAAATGAAATTGTGATAAAGAAGCACCAAGAAGGCTGTCAACCATTTAACTCTCAAAATCTGATAGTCATTTCTCCCCTCTAGCTGCTACACATTTCCTTGTAAATTAGTTACTGGAATTTGGTGTTAGATCAAGACAGCAACTTTTACCTGATAAGTTTGAGTATTCTCATTACCTGGTTGCTGGATAATGTATAAATATTATAGGGAGAGGCTACATATTGATCACTTTTGAGAGCTAAGGGGTTAAAGTTAGCAAACCTCAACTGAAATTAGGATTTCACATCTAATTAGTAATTGAGTGAAGAGTGTTGTGTTTTTACCTTGAGAGTAAGTAGAAGATTTTCTGGTTTGATGTCCCTATGGATGACTTTCTTTGAGTGACAATACTTTAAGGCTTGTGCTAGTTGACGAATATACTAAAGAGGTATGTAAGAAAGGTACTAAGTAGTTATATCTCAGTAGAAGAACTGCCACATTGTAAACTTAACAAATTTTAAACAAGAGTTATTTTCTAGCTGTTTTGTTTGAGTTAGGGCCTTTCTGCACTAGTGTTTGTCATGACTTGATAATTTTGGCCAAACCTGACAAATCTTTGGTGCACCACTGGCAAAGTTTGTCCAAGGTAAAAACTGAACAAACTCAACATAAATGATAAACTTGTTGCTCAGTTGTCATAAAAGCTATGACCAGCATGCAATTGAACTGAAATCAGTTTACAAGAAAGGCAAAAATGTTCTTTTGTTGCAAAACTCAGGGATTCTTAAATTTTAACACAACTTAAGATAGGATAAATCCTGGAAATTGGCCAAACTATGATGGCCAGCCCTATGAAATGATCAGGCACTGATAGAATGCAATGCCTTTGAAATTTTTAATATGGACGTAACAAACAAAAAAAACATTTGTCAAGATAAAATTGTCCTTTGATTTTTTCACGACAATTTTAGTTTTGTGCGCTAGTGTGGAAAGGCCCTCAGCCAATATTGCAAGCTGATTGAATGATAAATACTATGTGTAAGCACTCCTGTTGGTAAGTTGAAATGAAATGATGGAAACAAGTTACATATTAAGATATTACAATGACTGTGCGAGATACTTACATTTGAGGATGTTTTCTCATCAAATCTCTCAACTCTACTCAACTCTTTGTACAGTTCACCTTTTGGAGCATACTCTAAGATAAGATATACTCTTGTCTTATCATAGAAATAACCAAAAAGGCGAAGGATATGGGGATGCCTATCAAAAAAAAAATAAATGAAAAAAAGAGTTATGGCATGTATTTTTAATTCTGGACATCTTGGCAGCACCTCAAATTTAAAACAGAAAGAGGCCATTGATTCAGAAAACCAGTGACCATTTTAAATTATCATTAATGGCCACCAGTCAAACATGTAATGTTTTAGACTGAATCCACGTATTTCTTTTTATCAGTATTCATAAGTTGCCCAAAATCTTAAAGCTCACCTGAGATGAGACTGGATTTCAATTTCTCTTCTGAGTTGGTGTTCCACATTATTTTTCTCTAGCTGTGATTTAAACAAGACCTGAAAATAGTTGAAAAAGAAAAATGATTGAAGTGAGTTAGTAAGCTGAAAAAGGAATACAAATATTTCCCCTGAATTTCAGCAGCATTTACCTTAGCGAGAAAGTACCAGAAACAAGGATCAAGTCTACTATGCAAGAACACCCTTGCACATTTGTTATGAATAGACCAGTCTGCAGAGTATGGCAGAACACAGCAAGACCTCAAGTATGCAAAGGTGATTCTGTCATGTGAAACATATGGTAAGAAAGGAAAAAATTGTATATACATTTGCCATTCTTTTTAGACAGGTGCTTAGATGGAAATTACTCAATGGATATATTTTTCTTGGCTTGATATTTCTCATTTATGTGAGATTCAGATCTTCATCTTTAAAATCAAAATAAGGTTTTACGAAAGGAAGTCACTGGGAAGTCTGTTTGGCTCTGATTTTCTGATCCATCAGTTTTAAATGATTGTCTA